CATGAGGCAACATGGAACAGTCCAAAGCTGTTTGGAGGAAGAACAACTGCATGAGCACTGAGCTGAGAAGAAAGAAAAGCAGCTACAGGCATTAAAACATGAAGACTCTTGTGATGAGATCCTTGTGTTTCCCAGAAATTACTGCAATTCATTTTGCACAGGCTGTAAGGATGAATGGATGTTTTAATTGAAGCTGGAAAGGAAGGCAGGAGCCAGGAGATTGGTCCTGGAGTCCTAAGCACTTCTTGGTGATCCTGGTACCATCACATGTTTTCAAGACATAGCAGGACACAGCTGTAAATGCCCATATTAAAAGTCTTAAGCTAATAGAAATTTATGGAAACTAAAAATTCCTGTTGTTTTGGCTCCCATGGAACAGAAGTATAATTAATAAATATGAAGCTACTATTGTTCCCAGTGGAATCAGTGCAGGATTTCCACCAGATTTGACACAAAGAATCCTTTTTTTTTTTTTAAGCTAGTGGGAAGTCTTGTGTGTGCAGGATATACTCATGTACTAGGTCAGCAGCAAGTGTAGCTCTCATTTGCACCAGGAAAAGCTCACTGAGTCACAAACCCAGCCTCATGTGACTGTCTGACATTTGTCAGAGGGAAGCAATTTATGAGGTCTCAGGTTCATGACAGTCTCAAGACTCTGCTCTGACATGGGCCACAAGTGGCACTTAAGTGACTCCTCTGTTCAGAGCTGCATTTGTCTCTGTGAGGACCCAGGGCTGTGCCAGCCCCAATTTCAGCTGCTGCAATGGATTTTCTAGTGGCAGACAACTCAAACCTCCTGCACTTGAATGAAATTAATTGATCTTTTCTGCTAGGAGGGTGCTGCACTCCTTGAGCCAAGCTCTGCTTTAAGTCACAGCCTGTGGAGCCGTGCTGGATTTACTCTGGTGCTCTGGAGTGCAGACTGCAGGGCTCCTCCTGTCCCCCAGGGATTGTGAGTGAGCAGCAGCTCTGCTTGGCTCCTTATTGTCTTTGTTAATAACACTTCTAATGATTTGTGTTTGCATCTATTTTTGTATCTCTTAACATACTTGTAAGGTACTCAAGGCTGCCTTGGAAAGAACCCAAGCTCAGGGTTGTGGGGTGTATTTAAAACAGATGAACCCCTGGTTGCTGTAGGTATGTCATTGCTGTTCATTCAGCTTGCAGGAGTGGTTTTTTCCTCCCTTTCCAAAGTCAGAGGCAGCCTGTGGTGTGCCCAGTTCTCAGAGCACTGTGACAGAGAAGCACCATCCCTTCCTTTTGCAGAATCTCCAATTCTCCACAAGAGCATCACCAATACCAGGGCAAGCAGGGAAAGAAGAAAAGATCATTCTACAGCTGTAGGCTAAACTAAAACTATCTGATCCTAAGTTCCCTTTAGCCTGACAACACTGCCCTCATTGTTTAGTGTACAACTCAAAATGTCCCTACCTGCAAAATATTTGAGATGCAGCTTATTTAGACTCTGTGGGAAACAAAGGGAAAAACTCCCATCATAAAATTTCCTGTGACAGCTCCTTGAAAATCAGCTAGTGACCATAACAAATCCCTTCTCCTGGGATATTACTCTCCTCTGACTGGGTGTTTGGTGGCCATGAGCCACTCTGGAGCCCCTGAGGCCTGATGGGTGTGGAATTCTCAGGACACTGGCCAAAGCCCCAGCACCCACTGGCCACAGCAGCATCCCCATGCAGTGTAACTCAGCACAAAGCCTTGGCAGCCAGGCCACCACCATCCACCAGAAAGAGCAGCCCAAGCCTGCTCAGCACTGAGGCAAGGCTGAATCACACACAGCTTCTCTGTCCATGCCTACTTATCAAGGAACACACAACTACAAAACAACTACACTCCACTCTTTGCCACACTGGAGGGAATCAGAGGCCAGGCTCCTCTGGTTTTAAGGGCTACAAGAGTGTGGAAGGCCCAGCCATCTGCAGGATGGCCTTGCTGCCACCTGGGCCAGCACCACCTACTCTTCCACCAGACACCCAGGAGATTCAGCTGTCTCAGCTTCCTTTGGGACTGCCCTTGACACAGCAGCACTGCTTGTCTTCAGCTTTAGTGCATCCTGCAGCACTTCTCCAGAGAGAAATCTGGGGATTGTGTGCTCCCAACCCTGTGTGGCAGCATACTGGTGCTATCCTGGTGTGCCAGGGGAGTTCCATGGTCTGAAACACCACTTGGAATTCAGGTTGGGTCTGTTTGTCTCTTTTTTTTTTTAAACAATTTTTTGTCTCAACTGCAGAAAAATAATGTTATATATATATAAATTCATAGCAGTTCTGTGAGCTGTTTTCATGCTGAGAAGCAAAATGAACATTTTAAAAGATCAGATCTGAGGAAATCTGGGTATTCTTAGCATGCACAAATATCACCGCTTTTTATAAACTATAACCTTATTTTCATTTAAAAAAATTTTTAAAAATCAGCCCTGGGCCACATTTCCTTGCTCAGGTCCCAGCACACCTTTCCATGGGTTCCTGCCTTCCCTGGTTGAAGCTCTCCAGCACAGCCCTGTCTCCTGGGCCAGAGGGAAGCCCTAAATTGTAACAGCACACAGCTCCAGGGTGTTCAGCACAGGATGCTCAGCCTGGCTGCCACCCAGCACCCAGGGAGCCTCAGCAGAGTAATGCTGCCACCAACTCCCTTGTTTAGGAAAGCCTGGGAATGTCACAACTTGTTACACCCTTAAAACCCTCGGGAGGCAGTCATAACTTCTGCCTGAGGCACCCAAGAGCTTCCAGCAGTGCAAAATGAGCGCTGCAGCTCAGCCTGGGAGCGGTGGCATTTGAACAGTGGGGAGAGGAAGCCCCACACGCTGCCAGCCAGTCTTGGAAAAGTTAATGAACTAGCTCACATTTGTCACAGGCTCTGAGATATTCCAGGGAAATGTTCCATGAAAGCCAACTTCTGACAAAATATTGTTTTAATTAATCCCCATCTTTGATTTTCTGTTTGGGCTGCTCTCACAATGGCCCTTTGCTGGCTTTCACTGGAGGTTATGTGGGCTCACACCCACACACAATTCCTAGGATCTATGGAGAATTATGTCACTGCAAGTTATTGATTGTGTTCCAGCTTGGATTCTGCTGTGTACAGGCTCTAATTAATCCATATTCATACCATAAGGATTTCTCATCTGACTGTGGTTTGATCAACCAGCAGAGAAATACAGAGACCATATCAGTTACATTGGATCTTTTCAAGAGAAAGTGCAGCTCTCCAATAGCCTTGTGTCTAGGCAATACAGTCTAGACTGTCATGAACTTTTTAGATGGAAATAAATGTCACCATTAAAAAAAAATCAAACAAAATAAAAATCCAAAACAAAACACCCAAACCAACCAAAAAAAAAAACCCAACAAACCCTCCCCAAAGAGCCAGATTAGTTAATGTATTTCAGAAACATGTCTAAACTTTGTGCTTAATCAAAAAAAAGTCAGAAGATTTTTTTTTTTGGATGAAATGCACTCAGAAGACAAGCCAAAAGATAAGCAAAGAAAATAACGAGATAAGAAGATAAGCAGTGAAAACCTGTTGATAAAGATGAGAGAATTTACACAGCTTGTCTATGTTTTTGTGGTTTCAAGCCCAGTTAGTAGAAAAATAAAATGATGTAACTAGGAAGAAGAGTCTGCATTTCCCTCATGCAGTTTACCCAACCTTTTAGTTGTGCTAATTCGTACTTTGATCAATTAGATTGTTGAAAAAGGCATTTGTCAGGTGGTATTCAAGTGGCATAAATAAAGTAGTTCAAGGTTTCTCTTGGAACATAATTCCATGCAGGAATTATATTAAATTCCTTGCAGGAATTTTTTGGGCAAAACTACAGCTTTAAAATACACAGTAAGACACAGACTATCCTCTGTCTCATGGAAAGACCCTGTGCATGTGTCACACTTACATTCCATATCAGGATTAATGCCTTTAATATTTTCCCCGTTTTCTCTGCTGAATCCCATCTACAGGGACAATTACTGTGGTTTTGGGGTTTTTATTAACCTAGACACGCTCAAGTTTTGCTCCCATTTCACCCACTCAATTCTGTGCTGCACAATAATCACCAGCCCTACAAAGCCGTGTTTCGTCTCTTGGCTCCGAGGAATGAAGCCACATTTCCACACCAAGCTGCCATTAGCTCTCCGGGGCCACAGTTTATCTTTGCCTTCCAATTCCCGTGGCTCCCCTCCCTCTTCCTCCTCACCGCAGCGATTTTCAAACACTACACGCGTGTGGGTTTAATTTACACCTTTTCTTACACCTTCTCTTTTTAAGGGCGCACAGGGTACGATCTTCCACCGCTCCTGCGCTCCCTCGTATGGAGTTCTTTCCCTCGTTCCGGGGAAAGAACGGGACAGCGCCTCGCCCTCTCTGGCTGCCCAGGCGGGACGGGGCGGGGGGTGCACGGCTCCGAGCCGGGCTGGGGAAGCGCTCCGGGATGCAGGGCTACCCAGGGACTCGGGATAAACTGGGATCCAGGGCTGCCGAGGGGCAAGGGATAAACCGGGATGAGGGCGGAATGCAGGGAAGCACTACGGGCAGCGGCTGCCCAGGGGCTCGGGATAAACCGGGATGCGGGCAGGATGCAGGGAAGCGCTCCGAGCTGCCCAGGGGCTCGGGATAAGGCGGGATGCAGGGAAGCGGTTGCCAAGGGGCTCGGGATAAGGCGGGATGCAGGGAAGCGGCTGCCCAGGGGCTCGGGATAAGGCGGGATGCAGGGAAGCGGCTGCCCAGGGGCTCGGGATAAGGCGGGATGCAGGGAAGCGGCTGCCCAGGGGCTCGGGATAAGGCGGGATGCAGGGAAGCGCTCCGGGCAGCGGCGCGGCTGCCGAGGGGCTATGAGGAATAAACCGGGATAAGGCGGGATGCGAGCGGGATGCGGCGCCGCGAGGGGCGGGCGGAGGGCGGGGAGGGGTCGGCGCGGGGGGCGCGCCCGGCGGGGCCGCGCCTGGCGGCGGGAGCGCGCTCGGCGGCGGGAGCTGCGATCCCATCGGGGCACGGCCGCGCCGGCCATGGAGCCCTCGCCCAAGGACGGCGAGAGCGCGGCGGCCGCCGAGCCCGGCCGGGGCGGCACGGCCCCGTCCAGCGGCGTGGTGGTGCAGGTCCGGGAGAAGAAGGGCCCCCTGCGCGCCGCCATCCCCTACATGCCCTTCCCCGTGGCCGTCATCTGCCTCTTCCTCAACACCTTCGTGCCGGGGCTGGGTAAGGATGTGCGGGAGGCACCGAGGGAGGGCGGCCGGGCTCGGGGTCTCTCTCTGCCCACCTGCGGCTGCTTCGCCCCGGCGGGGCCGCTCGGGCTGCCGGAGATGCCCGCGGCCGCAACTTTCCCTTTTCCCGACGGCACCGCGGGAGGGATGGAGGGACGGACGGACGGAGGGAGGGAGGAAGGCAGGAGCCCCTGCGCCAAGTTTCGCGTCGGGGGCCGGGGCAGCGCCCTGCGGGGTCCCCAGGGATCCCAGCGGGCAAATCGCGTTTCCCTCGGGGCGAGTAGGGCTGGGGCAGCCTGGGGTCCCTGGCGGTCCCCGGCCCCGGGACAGACCGGACACATCCTCCGCGCCCGCCGGGCGGTGCCGAAGGGATGCAGCTGCTCGGGCTCTCGCGAACTGGGCTTGCGGTCGGAGGACCAAAGCTCACGGTGGCCACATCGCTCGCTAGCTAGAGATGAGCTTTCGGAGCCCCCCGTGCCGGGTTTTCTAAGGACAGCCCTGGCAAATGTTAGAACCATTGTCCAGAGGAGCTAGAGATTCACAGTTCCTCAGCATAAAGTCTCTGGTGTGCTCAGGTCCCCAAGATGTGGCTGCATCCTTTCTGTATTTCCTTTTCCTACGCTCGAATTAGGAATTGCTTGTTGCAAGAGGAGCTTAGAGTTTAAACACTACAAAAGCCCCTAGAATACAAGGCTAAACACAAACCTTTGAGCTGAAAGCAAAATAACCATGATAATAAAAAAAAAAACCCAAAACCAAACCAAATAATCCATGACTCATTAACCCATACCTCAGGTCTCTCATGGTCCATTTCTGGCTGCTCTTTCTGCTACTGTGGCCACCACTGAAGCCTTCCTTGTGATATGAGGGTATCCTCCACCTAGCCCTGCTTTTAAAGAGCTACTGCCTGCCTTTAATTGCTTCATGTGCTTCAGGTGGCTTCATTCTTTAACAAATCTGAAACTCCTAAAGTTCTGATTAAAGTACTACCCACGTGTGGGTGGGATAGTGTGTGCCACATGTAGGAGCCATTGCTACTCCAGCGTGCTTGCTCTGAAACCTGTGGATGTATTCCAGAGGAAAACTTGCACCTTTTGCAACACCTCTGAGTTTTCCTGTGGAAGGACTTGTGGAAGGTGTGTGTGCTTCCAGATGCAATCCACTGCACTCAGGTGTGTTGTTTGCACAGCCCTTGTGTGCAGCCACCTGAAGAACCTTGAGTGATGAATCAAAGACCATCTCCGGAGCTGAGTTCTCTCATGGGGCTTTAGGTTTCCTGGGGCTCAGTTTCCCACTTTGGAGAGACAAGTTCAAAACCTGAGTTTTCAAAGCGAGTGCTGTTTTCTGCTGGCATTGAAGACACCACATCTTCACTGTGGATGTACAGAAAAAAAAGCCTGACTTAACCACCCCTTTTTCCTTATCCAAATTATCTGACACTTCACAAAGCACACTAGAAAACCCTCTGCCCTTCATCCCAGAAGGACAGATCCCCATGAGACATCCTTATGTTGAAATTGGCTGGAAGTGTGGTTCTCTGCTGGAGTTCTCCTCTGGGTGCTGCTGGGGTAGCCAGAGTTGTGCCTTCCCTTGTGCAGGAGGTGTCTAGGAAGGAAGGGGAGCAGATAGCCCTCCCTTCCTGGAGGTGAGTGTTCAGGGCTCACAGTCCATGCTGGCTAAAAGCTTGGGAGTTGAATCTGGACTGTGCAGCTGTGTTGGTTATGTAACCACTGACAGGCTGGACCAGCACGAAATGGTTTTTAATTTTATTTTTAATTCTATTTGGTTTTTTAAAAAAAAACTCCTCCTTTTTGGTGGAGGTTTTTTAAAATTTGTTTGCCCTTTGCTGCAGTGATTTCGGCGGTAGGGTCTGGCCGGCTGTGCTGCTGTTTCTCCTGGTACTCTGTTGCAAAAGTAGCAAACCAAACAAGCTACAGATGAAAAGGAATCCTTCCCTGTGGCATCCCCACAGCCTGGTGAAATGCAGTGTTTTGGAGATGCATCCCAAGCTCAGTATGCAAAGCATGGCATTTCATTTGTACATAAATGAACCGTTCTGTTAATGAAGCTGCTAATACCACGTGCATTTTGACAGAAAACTTAGTCTGAGATGACACACCTGACTAGAATACAGCTATTTACAATCTCAGCCAAATCCTGTCATGTATCACATAGCCCACACAGGAGGGGAAACAGGAGGATCACGAATCTACTGGCAGGAATGTTCAAGGTAAAAAGAGATTTTCTGTCATTGTTGTGCTTCAGCCATCTCAATGAGCTGAGCAACGATTGTAAACCAGATAAGATTTGCAATGGTGTGAAGTGTTCACATCAAGGATGGCAGCCTGTTCCCTGCAAGGTAAATGGCAAAATTCCCATCAGTTCTTGTAGTCCAGATTTATAACATGTTAAAGTGATGTTTCACAGGCTCGCCAAGTGTATTTCTTCCTGCTTAGCTGGAGAGTGTGACTGTGTTTAGGTGTTAATGGAAGTCCTCTATTTCTCAGTCCCTAAATTCATCTCTCATCTTATTGCATGTAGTTGTCGTTTGAGTGTAGACTCTGCAGTGCAATTGCAAAGAAGGGTCAGAGACCACCAGAGTAGACAAGAAAATGGGCAACATTGAATAAATCAAGATTTCCACTGCTTGGAGACTGGTGCATTTGAGGTTTTCATTAGTGCCCCGTGCCTCAGAGTAGTGATATCCAAATAGAAATTGTACTCTGATGCAAGCTTCCAAATCTTTGGGCAGTCTCTCACCATCTGAAAGCCTCTTTTTTCTAAGTTAAATTATCTTTCCTCTGTTGTGGAAGTCACCTTTGAGGGTGACATCTGAAAATTTTAAATAGCTGGTTTATTTTTCCTTTGTGCTATTTATATTTTGCAGTACTACTCTATTTGGACAGTAGAAGTAACACTTTCTCTTTGTTTACAGTCAGTTTATTATCTTCACTTGGTTACTTTTCAGAGTTTTATGTAATGACCCAGAACTGCAGGTTTTAAGGTGCATTATAAACTGGGTTTGAACTACTCATTCCACACATGCTACAAAAGATGTCGTTCACAGGAATTTTTTCATACATAGGGGATATGTTGACTTTTCTCTTGCCAAAAATTAAAATTCAGACCAAATACAGTGTAAAAAATCTTGATTAGCCCATCTACTTGTAATCCATCTTGCTGAATAGCCTTGAAATCACATATTCCTTCCAGTCGCTGTGATGTGCCACTTGGAAATGTTCTGGATCACTTTCCTATTGTATTTGTAGGGAAGCCCCAATGAAGGCAGGAATGATGAGGAGGACTCTATGTTCTCAGAAGGTTAATTTATTATTTTATGATACTATATTATATTAAAGAATACTATACTAAACTATACTAAAGAGTACAGAAAAGATACTTACAGAATGCTAAAAAGATAATAATGAAAACTCGTGACTCTTTCCAGAGTCCTGACACAGCTTGGCCCTGATTGGCCAAAGAGTCAAAACAACTCACAGCAGAATCCAATGAAACAATCACCTGTGGGTAAACAATCTCCAAACACATTCCACATGTGAGCACAACACAGGAGAAGCCAATGAGCTAAGAATTGTTTTCCTTTTCTCTGAGGCTTTTCAGCTTCCCAGGAGAAAAATCCTGGGCAAAGGGATTTTTTTCAGAGAACGTTCTGGATCAGTTTCCCATGGCCCATAGTGCAGTCTTTCTCACCTGTGCCTAACAGGGCAGTAGGGCTGAGCTGCAATGAAGGTGTCCCAAGCTCAAGCTCATAAAAAGAGTGGGTAGGGAGAAGAAGGAGGAGTCAGCGGGTGCTGTAGCAAAAGCCATCGTGCCTTGACTGCAGCCCTGCCACAGGCATTGCAACCTCTGCTCTGGTTTGGGTTTCTGGAGCAGGCTCTGAGGCATCAAAGCATGCAGTGATGAGCTCTGGAGGATGGGAGGTGCAGCTGTCAGCAGAGCTGAGGGTGCCCAGTGGTGCCATTCCCACAGGATTGGGCACTGTGTCCCTGCAGCCCGTCCGCGCCATCCCGCAGATGGGAGAAGGGCTGGCCGTGCCCTTTAGCTGGCAGACTGTGTTCTCCTGGAGCTGAGTGTGCCAGTCAGCGTGGGAGGAGATCTGGCTCCTTGTCATCATTCCCAGAGCTGATCCATGGGAATCTTGCCCTCCTTCCTCTCTGCTCTTCCTTCTCGCAACATCACGTGTGTGGGAGGGGGTAAACGAAGGGGGGGAACTTGAGGAAAATGTGAGAAGTGAGGGAAATGATCTGAAAGTCTGAGTTATTCTCCAAGATTAATCCCTCCTGTCAGGAAGGGGGTGGACTTTTGGATCCCAGCCTGTGTGATACGTGAATAACTATTTTTATGCAGGGAGTAATTGAAATACGCAGCATAAAATGATGTTGGTGCGGGATAGGAGAGCAGCCACCCATGTTCCATGAAGTAGCCCGTGGAAGAGTTCAGGGGTGCCAGCCTCTCACAGCAGCTACAGAAGGAAGGGGTGATTCCCAGCCCACTCAGTTTTTTGCTTCCAGGGCTCCACAGTGCAGCTCTCCTGTTCCTGGGTGTGTCAGCTCCGTATCACGAGTCTTCTGCCATCTGTTTATTCGCTCCTGATAAAGTTCAAGTACTGCACCTTCAGCTGTGGGAATGTGGCTTTGCCATTGGATTCACAGAAGCCAAGCATCTTCTCATCAGAGACCAAGGCTCTCCTGAGCAGAATGAGCTCTCCAAAGAGCTGAATAGAAGTAAAAACACAACACTCGAGAAAGGTGATGGGATAAGTTCTGCATAAAATTACCGGTAGTCGTTTTATTTTTGTGGTTGGAATGGTAAATAGATGCCTCAAGCAAACATCCATTGCCTTCATTATTGAAAGAAAGAATTTCAAGGAAAAACGACATTTTCTTATCCATGGTAGAGCAAACAGTGCAATAAAGAAATTTGGGGCTTTTAGACATATAAAATCTCAAACTCCCTTTGGTATTTATGATCCTT